CATTTGATAATTTCATATATTGAAGTTATAAATGACCTTAATCTATTTAAGTACTTATTATGGTTCATACTCTTTACTTCATTCCGTAAGATATATTTTACATTTTGTTTGTCAATATAATATGATACTATTGATATTGTTATTGTTATTATCTTGGATTACAAACACAAAAGAACCATGAAAATTCAAAATATAAATGAAAATATTGCATTAGGTTAGGCTAAATTAAGTTTTATTTATTATTTTGACTCCTTAGATCTATTAAAATCTTTGGTATATAGTGGTATTGCATGTAATTAGAATTATTTTGAATTATTTCTAATAGTGTAACTAGAGCACTGTGCTTTATTGGTTCCTTGGTTTACTCTCCCATGCAAAAGGCTCTCAACTTCATGCTAGCTTTTAGAAAGTTTGCTAGCTCCCATATCTGCTTTGCGCTATGTATTGATAGCAACTCTTTGAAGTCGCTATTTTGTAGCAAAGGTGGTTGAATAACCTTCCAAATAGGACAGGCTATCAGAATATGTCTCCTGTTCTCTAGTTCTTGTATGTGACAGATAAGGCATTTCTGGTTCACATTTTTTGTATGATTAGACTCTGACTATGTTGTCAACTTCCATGTGATTTTATCTGTTAATCTACTTTGTGCGATTATGTATTATTTTGTTTGGGTAAAGGGTATAACAGCTTAGCTAGTTCTTATAGCTCTTGTAGTATTGTTTTATTTTTTATTTCTTTGTAAATTTCACCATAGCTTGAGTTGCTGATTCTGTGATTATCTTTTTCGCCAATTTTATGTATATTTGTATTAAAATATTGGTTAGTGTGTTCTCTCCCTCTAATGTATAGGGCATATTATTGATATCGATAAAAAACTCCTGGAGTTTGGTCTTTAGTTGTGTGGCCCAATTTCTCTTAAAATTGAGATTTTCTTATTCATAGTTTATAGTCTTTCCCAGCATATTTTTAGAAATATTTTATCGTTCAAGCTTTCCAGTGTGTTCCAGTATTTTATTGCTCTCTTGATTATCTCTATCTCTAATTTTATTGCCCCTGATTGCGCTCTCACTATGTACCCTGGAATATATCTGGCTGCGCTCATTAGTCTTTTCAGGAAGTCTGTTTGCATTTCTTCCAGTGCCTCTGTATGGTTCAGGCCCCAGATTCCTGCAATGTATAATAAGGTTGCCTTTACTATAACACCGTTCAGTTTTTTTTTGCCGTGTACGAGCTGTTAGGTCTTGATAGTATGAGAGGTTTCCATATTGTCCACGGAGCAGTTTTTGCTTTCATTACAAAGTTATTTGTGACTGTATGAAATGTACTTACATGTCTGAAGGGGACCCTTAGATACATATATTTTTGCACTTCTTTAATCTGTCTTCTACTGTAAAATAAAATCATATTGCGTGAAAAATATATATAATTTATGAATTTCAAAGATGTGAATGTTTATTTCTCAGAATTAAAAATTGTCATTATTTCCTATCACTTCAATAATGTATATACTTTTTATTGAATTTAACTTTGATCTTCATACATATTCATAACTCTTTTTTATTCTTTTTGTAGTAAATGTTCCATAAAGTAAAAACATTAGTCCTTACAAAACAAATATTCTTTGTAAATTTGATGCTATTCTTATACATTTTTTTGTAAGTAGATATTTTTGGATGTACTTCTCCAATACATATTGACTTTCTCTTTAGCATCGTACACATAATTAATACCTTATGTTAGCTGGTGGAAGCTAAGAAGTCAAATAAATTTTTTGGAAGGCAGAGTCAAACTGAATATATGAACTGCCATCCAAGAGTTGAAAATTTAATGAAAAGAGTGAAGTTAGTATTTAACAAATATGACTTCCTTTATTTACTATTGCTAATTTAACGTTATTTTTANCATAATTAATACCTTATGTTAGCTGGTGGAAGCTAAGAAGTCAAATAAATTTTTTGGAAGGCAGAGTCAAACTGAATATATGAACTGCCATCCAAGAGTTGAAAATTTAATGAAAAGAGTGAAGTTAGTATTTAACAAATATGACTTCCTTTATTTACTATTGCTAATTTAACGTTATTTTTA